GGAGGCCAGTCCACAAGAAAACTTCCACAAGAAATCCAACCCTGAGACCCCAGGACGTTCATGGGTTTTTGGTGTGGGAACGTCGCGCCTTCCGTCGCAAAACCCTCGAAACCCAAGAAACCCAGAGCACCCTGGAGGCAAGCAGGGTGTTTCCTGGCGTGGGCCCCCACTGTACCGCGTGACTGGCAAACTACCCTGCGGTAAACACGGTACGTGCAACACATGCTGCGTCGCCCTGCGGGGCCTGGGAGGGTGCACCCCCTGGAAACGGTCGCCGGCAAGGTCCCCGTCTCTCGGCGCGAAGTGTTCCGTCCTCACCTGGAAAAACGAGTGCTTCCTCCTCCTTGCCTGCGTTGCTTGGCGTTGCTCCTCCTTGCCTGCGTTGATGTAGCAGCTAGAAAACTCGGAGCAAGAGCGAACACAGTGAGAGAAAACGTGAAACGACCTGCAGAAGCTGCCACCATGAAGATGAGCATAGAGGCGTGGCACAGCATTGGAGGTCGTCATGTGGCATTGTTGCTGCAGGCGGTTCAGCGTTTTCAATTCCAATTCCTCCTCCGCCTCCCTTGCAAATTTCTGCATGTAACTCTGAGATGGCCGGCCACGACATGGATGGCCAAACGGAGTGATGTGACATGTCCGCTCGGGCGAACGATGCGTGCGTGGTTCGGAGGTGGGAGGCACAACATTAGAAGTACCTTGGTGGAGCAGATTAACACCTACTCTGAAACAGCTCCAGTGGATACTGGGTGCTACGAGACACTCAAAGACCACCATGCTCGACGACAACATGTCCCGCTGTCCTGCTCGCCCTTCTCTCTGTGCCGCTGGACCACGTGGCGGCCATCAATCAATTGTCTCCGCCTCTTGGCGCCCACCTACCTCTTCAAGCAGCGAGTCCCATCTGGCAAAACTGCCTCACCGACCTCCCTCGAACTGCCGATTCCGTTCTCAACTCCCTCATGGGCGGCAGGGGTGCGCACACGAGCTCGGCCGCCGATTGGATGAGCGCCTGTGCGCAGGACGGGCGAGCAGAGCGGCCCCACACATGAAAGCTCGTCTGACAAAGTCCTGCGCCTGCAACTTCACTCGGACTGCCAGCCATCTCTTAGGCATAGAGCAATGGCATGGACCTCTGCGTCTCACAAACCCAACAATGACTTCCTGGGAACTGGTCCCTCGTTCCCTCTTCAACCTTCCGTCCGCTGACGCTCCTGCACAAATCTGGCCTACCTCACCATGGGATGTTGGTACCACCTGGCGCGCTACTAAAGACGAAGTGAAGATCCGCTCGGAACCTTGTGATTCAATAAGCGTGTGAGATACGAGTGCCCTCCGATCCCCTCCCACTGCGAGGAATTGAAGCACCTTATATCTAATGATTTATTATTTGGGGGCTTGTTCGACCTTTGGCTTTGGCGGCTCCGCTGTCGAATCCGAATCTCCCCGTGACCAAAGAAAACGTTGCCCAATCGGCTCATTCATTCGCGATACGTAAGGTTCGGGGACCCAACCTGCGCACTGCCAGTCATATTGCGCGGTTAATTTTAGGAAGCGGGTGGTGTGAGTGGTATAATAATACTGTCAATAACCTCACCGCCAGTGGGACCTGACAGTAAGAGACGCCCGTCTTTTACTGACAGCGGCTTCGATAGTGGAACCCAGCCCGCACGTAGTTCGACGTCGACCTCTGGCATCATCAGCACATCTACAATCGTAGCACTGTTGTGATTATGTGGAACGCGTTGCGCAGATGCTGCACCCATTGATCAATCATCACCACCTCTCGCGGGACGATATGGAAAACCTTTAGCACGTCGGCCCACACAACCATGATATAAACTTGGGGCCTACAACACGCACATGTTCCCGCTCTTGCTCCTGCCTCCATCTTCTGGTCTAATGGACGGGGGGATGTGGCATACCTCCGCAGACTTCCGGAAAACGTATAACTTACCCACGTAATGATCCCGACACGCCGGCACAGCGCTGCTGGCTCGGGATATGCATTCAACTCCGCACGATGGCCAGAATAAGAGCCGGCAAACAAGTAGGTGCTGCTGTGCCTGACCCGTTCCGCCCCGAGGGACGTCTAATGGGACGCACAGAGACATACTAATACCATATGTCCGGCTTGGAGGCGCGCGTCCGACCCGAACATATAGTATACCCATCTTGTAGTACATCGTTTCTCGAGCGGTGTGGCCAGAAATCACCCGCCACGACGCATACACTATAAGATTTCTCGGTGAGCGCGTCGCTCCTGGGGGGGCGACGAGCACATACATCCTCGTTACGAAAGTTAATTCATCTTGGCTAAAATTGACATGCGTGGGCGCTGTGGTGAGAAGTGGTGTGGGAGTGATTCTTCCTTGTGGCTTCATACGGGGAAAGATTCAGAATTGCCTGGAAGTGACCGGGAGTGATTTCTCCCTTGTGAATTTACGAGGGAGAGATTTTATCCTGAATTGGTTATATACTATTAATGCTACCAGGGAGAACCCCGGAAATCTCTCCCGCCAAGCCAGGCCGAAGACTGCCGTGCTAGGAGACTACGGGGGGAAGGGGGGCCACTCGGAGACGCCCTAGTCGTCAGTGCTCAAGATGAATAACTTTCGTAACGGGTAAGCGGTATCTTACATTGCACTTCTACTATTGGGGGGACGCCGATCCAAGTCCGAACGGCAGGCCCTGCCGTCGCCGACGGTAAGGGCCCTGCAGCCCCGACGGCCCAGGCAGTCCCACTTCTACCCCCCGCCTCCTCCCCCGTCTCATCCTCTTCCTCCCCGCCCCCCCCTCCTCTTCCTCCTGCCCATCACCCTTCCTCGCCCCTCCTCCTCCTCCTCCTCCTCCTCGCCCCTCCTCCTCCTCCTCCTCCTCGTCCTCCTCCTCCTCCTCCATCTTTCCTTACACACCACCTCCCCTTGTCGCACCTCCAGGTGCGTCGGTACGGCGGGCTGGGCATGTCGCCTGAGACTTCCTTACCACTCGTGGTGATGAAGCCAGGCACCTGCAACAGCTTCAAGGACAGAGTGGGCCGTTCTTAAAATGGAGCTATCGTTCTGGCGCCGCGCCCACTCGTCTCGACAGTTTGCACCAGCTTCACGGATGCACATGAGCGGTTTTCAAAGAGCGGCTCTCGCCTCAAAGCCGCGTGCACTCGTCTTAAACATGAAAAGCGGCCTTCACGGATAGAGGAGGGCGTTTTCAAGATGTGGCTCTCGTCAGGGCGCCCCGCACATTCATCTGAAACGCTTGCGACTGCTCCAACTATTCAGAAGGCGGTAGCTTTCAAAATGGGGCTCTCGCCTCAGCGCCGCGCACATTCGTCTTAAACGCGCGCAGCAATTCCAAAAATGAAGGGGTGTTTTTTGGGAAATGGGGTCAGCGCCTTCGCGCCACGCACATTCGTTTAAACGCTTGCAGCGGTTACAAGGACGGTGGGCGCTTGTTTTTTGCAATGTGGGTCTGTCGACTGGGATGCCTCTCAGCTTCCAAGACTAGAGATTACACCTCCGGGACAAACGTAATCCTACTGCAATGAAAAACATCTATATAGTGGGCATCTTGGATCATGTCTCGAGTGAGCGAGAAATATCGCGAATCCTATTCCTGCGCTTGGCGGGTCCACTTTCATGTGCGAAAGATCGTGGATCCACTTGCTGGGAAGCATCATCCTATCATTATACGGGGGCGGGGCTTCCTCACGTCATCATCGTCACCACCACCACCGCCACCACCATCCTCATCATCATCATCATCATCATCATCATCACCACCATCATACTCACAATCGTACGTAAGCAACATCATCATCATCAACATCATCATCATCATCATCATCATCATCACCATCACCGTCACCATCATCATGATTATCATCATAATCCGCAGAATCATCACCATCATAATAATACGAGTGATAATACTTAAACCGTGATAATGGTGAGAACAATAATGCTAACCATACTAGAACTAGTAAGAATCATAGTATTCATCATCACCACCATCATCATCACCATCACTATCACCACCATCACCACCAGCTTGAGAGTCACTGCGCACTCTCGCCCAATCCACCACAACACCCTCATAAATATGAAAGCTCGATTGTCATTGTGGCCTCCGCCCAACTCCATACATCCCCATAACATTGGGTAGCTCGAGCGTCACAGCGGGCACACGTTCACTCCTGCCCCCACCCCCCAATGACACTGGCAAGCTGGAGTGTCACCGCAGGTACCCGCGAGGCCTTTCTTTCAACTCGAGAAGAAAACCTCCCGGCCTGCGGAAACAAAACCTATGAGCCAGCTGCAGGGATGAAGGGCGATGTCGTTTCAAACGTGGGTGTTCGATTGAGGTTTCCTTACGTTCAAAATGCCAGCAACTTGAATCTATGGTACAGCTGCTCGGATGGAGGTCAATTTCTTCAAAGCATTGGGCGTTCGCGTGAGACTTCCTCGACGCTCGTGGCAACATGTGAAAACGTGTGCACGGGCGACACAAGTTTGAGCGAACCTTTTGTAAACTGGGGATGCACTTGGACACCTGTTGAACTGTAGGATCATACCTTTGCACGATCCTTTACACTCGCTTGTTGGATGCGAGGCAACTGATGAATCTTCTCGAAAACGGTGATCTCGCCTTGATGGCAGGACCTCACGGTGCTGGCCGTTCCATGGGACGCTTGTTGACGCTTGTTGAAGTGATAAAGCAGGATTCCATGGACGTGTCAGGAGGGGACTCCTGGGGCATCCTGAGTTCATTACGGTCCTCCCCATCCTCCCCCACCTCCCCCTTCCCCTCCCCCTCCCTCCCCCTCACCCACACCACTCCACCTTCCCTTCCCCCTCCCCCTCCCCTCCCCCTCCCCCTCCTTGTGGAGGTCGCCGCCGCCGTCGTCGTCGCGACGGTCAGCGCTCTGAGCCCGCCCCCCCCACCCCCCTCCGCGCGCACGCCGAACGCCTCCGCCTCGGCCGCTCTGCTCCCCAGGCTCCCGC